CAAAAGCAATAAATAAAACACAAAGAATAAAACCAACGCTGATCAGACAGTATTCTTGCACCTGTCACCTGAGGCCAACAGGTGAGATCTGGCTTTAATTACCCTAACTAGGTGTTATCGGCAGGTGCTCCAGCCACTGTGTGTGTGTGTGTGTGAGAGAGAGAGAGAGAGAGAGAGAGAGAGAAAAGAAATGCAAGAGAGAGAAAAGAGAGAGACAGCCTGGGAGATACAGATACATAGAGAGAGGGAGAGTGAGAGAGAGAAAAGAAAGAGACAAAAAGAGAGGATAGAGAGAGAGAGAGAGAGAGAGAGAGAGAGAGGAAAGAGAGAAAAAAAGAGACAGAAGGAGAGACTGAGAGATAGTTAGGGAGAGAGAAATAAATAGAACGAGACAGAAAGGAGAGAGGGAGAAAAAGAGAAAGAGAGAGAGAAGAGTTGGGAGTTGATGCTGTAACCCAGGTAACTCAGCCTCTTGTCCAACGGAGATGTTACCATGACGACCACTCCCACCTGCTAACAAGTTTCCTCGCCTGTCTATTATCCTAACTATTCCTTTAACCTGCAGTTAATAGTTTTTCTCATTTTAATTGGTAACGTGAGGAGGTTTAATTTGAGGGGTTTATAAAGGTGTCGATGACGTTTTAATGCACCAGGTGTTGGAGCTGTAATCAACGTGTACAGGTGTGCTGATGGGATTGACAATGGATCGTAAGGTAATTTTTTTATCATAAGTAAAATTGTTGGGAAGGTAAGTTAATGCCTGCGTTAACCTGTAGTGTAGATGTTAAGGTGTGTGTGTGACCTGAACACAAGGGTCAATAGGTCAAACGAGGTCAAGAAAGAGAGAGAGTGAGTGTCTGAGATAGCCAACCTTGTGTTTCTCCTTGATAATACTGGGGAAAATATATATAATTTCGTGGGTGTTGATATCCCTGGGAAAAAAACATAAAGACGATATTGTATAGCCTTGATTCACCTGGGAAAAAATTACAAGGGTAACTCATTTGCCTCGACTCACCTAGGAGAGAAAATTAGGCCACCTTTTACAGCCTTAATTCACCTACAAAAAATATACAACAAGAAATGCAAAATTGCCTTCACTCACTTGGAAAAAAAAATATTCTCTTACTAGCTAGACAAACCTGGGGAAAAAATATATAAACCCACCTCAACCTCATACACGGACCTCGACCTTCCTAGTAAAAAAAATAATCACCTCTACTTGACTTGCTTTTAGCGCAGCATGAACCAAACTTTTACGTCAAATTCTTCCAGATATATGAAGTTTATTACGTCGAACTGAATGTTACGTGGGAGATAGAATTAAAACATCGAATAAAACGTGACTAAGGTGGATGAGATTTTGGTTACGGCCGTCCAAATGTCTCTCCTGTGTTGACGTTATGGGGGAGGAAGAGAGAGAGAGTGACGCCTTATGGAGGATGTGAAGGAGTGACTTAAAGGGCACTGTAAACAAGGAACAAAAGAGCCACGTAAAGCGCAGCTGTCTCGGTCAACCTGGCTGTGATTGTTGTTTTAAAGATAATGACGACAGCCCAGCCAATCAGAATCTTTGTTGACGTGTATGTGTAGGCTGTCATGTACCCAAGGGAGGTAATAACCTTCCCAGGGTACAATACGATAAGAGCAATACACGTAAAATCACTACACTAACTACTCTCAAACCTTGAAATACTGATTATTAGTTCCAAGTAGTTATAGTATACAAAATAATGCATAGAACCTAATAGAACCTGTCTTAACATACCCAACCTCTGGGTATATTAAGTCAGGTTCTATGAATTGTCGTGTAGAAAAAAGTTCAACCAATTCGGACAGTTCAGGTCACCCTCTACACCTTCACATTAGTTCCGTTATATAGACTAAAATATGAGAATGGATACTGGTTACTCCAAGTACTTCAGTTATAACTAAAATGTAAGTATCCAGGCCTGATCAAACATTAATTATACCTGAAGAATCCAAAGATAAGATATTAAGCAAAATCAACGTACTTCTAACAACCTATATTACAGCACCGATACAAACAATACTAGAATTAAGAAATACAATTAAATAAACAGTTTACCTTCCAATAATTCCTGAATGCCAGTCTGTTCTCCACCAGCTCGGGACCAGAGAGCGAACGACCAAAACAAGCAGCCGCCGAACCACTTCAGGGGTCAGTCCTACGCATGCGCCGTTTGGTGATATTGACATCATAACTGTTATTTACTTAGAAAACCTATCAACTTCAAACGATAATAATAATAATAATAATAATAATAATAATAATAATAATAATAAGGTATTGCCCGTAATTACGTATTTAACACCAAGACAAGAATCATACTAACGTTACTCCTACTCTCCTCCTCTCTCTCTCTCCTCCTCACTTCTCCTTCTGACCCTTCCCATCCTCCTCCTTCTCCACTCCTTTCTTCTCCATCTCTCCTTTATCTGTCTATCTTTCTGTCGCTTTCTCCTCTTTTCTCCGTCTCTTTCTCTCCCTGTATCCGTTTATCTCTCTCAGTCTCTCCCTTCATAACACACAACCACGTACTGAAGGTAAGATAATCAGAATCTAAATAGGAATCCACTTCATAATCCGCTGAAAATCCGCCTCTATCACGAACACAACAAAAGATTTATGAGCTACTCACTGGGGGCATGTAGATGAGACGTGAGGAATGTTTTAATAGAAATAATGTGTTCTCTCTCTCCCTCCCTCTCTCTCTCTCTATCTCTCTCTCTCTCTCTATCTCATCAAATATCGATGTCAATTCGTTGATTACAATTCCGTATTGACAGAATGATAAATTGAAATAAAGTCAGAGAATGAAATGGGTTTAAACATGATTTCATTGTGTTTATGGTTCGTGATGTTTGTGTTTACAGAGTCCCTTGATGTTTGTGTTTATAGAGACCCTTGATATTTGTGTTTACAGAGTCCCTTGATGTTTGTGTTTATAGAGTCCCTTGATGTTTGTGTTTATAGAGACCCTTGATGTTTGTGTTTATAGAGTCCCTTGATGTTTGTGTTTATAGAGACCCTTGATGTTTGTGTTTATAGACCTTGATGTTTGTGTTTATAGAGACCCTTGATGTTTGTGTTTATAGAGTCCCTTGATGTTTGTGTTTATAGAGTCCCTTGATGTTTGTGTTGACAGAAGACGTATTAAATCAGACAGACAGAGTTAGATAGAACAGTACACGTCCATTACTTGAAACGCTGTACTCGTAATTAACCAGGAGTGGTTGGCAGTTGCCCTAATGACTGACACTCATACAAATATTCACTAACGAGGTGAATGATGGTAGTTAGTGCCATCAACCAGTGCCACTTGACCCTAACTGTGTGTATTCTTTTTACTAACCTTGTTTGTTGTTGTTGTTGTTGTTGTTGTTTTGTAGTTGTTTGGTTGTTATTGTCATCATCATCATCATCATCATCATCATCATTATCATCATCTTCTGGATTCCTTCATCACTAACCACTAAACCCATCATATACCCAAGGTTTAAATAAGAGGAATAATTCACATTAAAACAAATTATTATTATTATTTTTTTAATTTTAATACAAAATAAGATCAAGTGTTATCATACATCAGTCAACCCAAGCGTGTGACTGTATCTATACGTACATACATGACTGTTTTTTTTATATATACATGGTAGTGGTTTAACCTTTTGAGGACAGTGGTTTAACCCACCCTAGGGGATTCTAGTTTGGATTATCGTCTATAAAGTGATGTAACTTAAACCATCGTTCTTAAGGGGTTAAACCTTCGCCCTCAAGAGACTAAACCATTGTCCTTAATTTGTTTAATCATCGTCGTAAAAGGTTAAACCATTGTCCTTAGGGTTAAACCATTGTCCTTAAAGGGTTAAACCATTGTCCTTAGGGTTAAGCCATTGTCCTTAAAGGGGTTGTTATCGTCCTAAAGGACTAAACCTTTTCTCCTCAACGGGTTAAACCATCGTCCTTAAAGGGTTAAACCATCTTCCCAACGGGTAAAACCATCTTCCTCAAAGGGTTAAACCATCGTCCTTAAAGGGTTAAACCATCGTCCTTAAAGGGTTAAGCCATCGTCCTTAAAGGGTTGCTATCGTCCTTAAAGGGTTAAACCATCGTCCTTAAAGGGTTAAACCATCGTCCTCAAAAGGTTTATTCCATAATTAAAACAAAGTAAACGCCTGTCCAGTCATACACTCAGTGACTGTCTGTGTATAGTGTCTTCGAGTCATAAACAGTTACTCTTTGTATTTTTGGGTATCCAGTTAACAGTCGTCAATTTCGTTTCTCTTCAGTTAACAGTTAATAATATGTTTCCTAAGTTGTGGTATTTTTCTTATGATTCACAGTTATCATATTGATTTTGTTTACCAGTTAACAGTTAATATATGACTTTGTTTTCTACAGTTAACAGCCAGTTATTTCAGTTATTTACAGTTAAAAGCCAAATGCGACAATTTACTAACCTTTCCTGTATTTAATTAAAACTGTAAACCCTTTAAGTGACTGTTAAGTATATTTCAGATGTCAACCACTTATCTGAAGGTTGTAAAGTAATAAGAACTGTATATAAACAGTCACAAACAGTCACACACAGTCATAGGACACTGTTACTGACTGTTCACACTCAGGCGGGTTCTCGTTCCATCATGATTGACTTCAATAAAGATGATTTTGTCCCTTTGTTTACCTGTAGTGCTGCCAGACGTACGATGTGCCTCCTCCTACCCCAAACAACAGAGCAACAGTGGTGGTCTGGCGTGTAGAACATATCGTACGGCAAAGCTAAACTCCTCCTAGCTCGTTAACAGTTACCAATCGTGTTTAAACAGTTAACAGTCTATATTTTGTTTGATCTACATTTGTTTTATCTTAATTCTTACTGTTTTCTTTAACTAACTGTTTCTCTTTGTTGAATCTGGAAATTTTAAAGTTGATCCTGACTGATACGACACATTCAGGAATCCTACACTCATTTACACAGTTAACAGTTAGTATTTCCCATTTATACACAGTCATAAGTCTTCAGGTTAATATTTTTGTACGTTTGACTGTTTCGTCCTGTCAAGCGTTTGGGATTTTAAGCCATGTTGTTAAGGCAGCAGAAGCGATCTCTGGAGTGGAAATATTGGAAAATTTTAGAATGTTTGTGATTCTAGGTAGATATATCGCATCTTTTGTTGACATGATGATTGAGTCGCCTGTTTTCTCCACCTGACTGTCTAGTGTCTCTCTCTCTATCAATCTCTATTATCAACGGGATATTTACGTTAATTCCCCTTCAGTCTTAGGACAATGTTAGGAGTCGCCATGTGTCGGGGGTCGTGATTTTTGTCGGTTCTTAGCACTTTCAGAACCTTCCTCGGCGTCATTGTGGCGCTAGTTGAACCTGTCTAGCTCGGAGGTCGGTTCTTAGTCCCCCAAAAAATTCCTCATTTTACTAGTTGTCGTAAGTATCCTATTTTTTGGTTATGTTTCCTCGCTAGGACGTGTTTTTATTGATTCCTAACAATCCCAGGGAATTGTTAAGCACCATATGGCGATCCTAGACGCTGGGGAACTATATTAACCTGTTCCTAACCCTCAAGGACGTGGTTAAGACTCGTCAGGATTCTTGGTGAACTTGTAGGAGCAGTCTGTGAGTCCTTCGAGCTGGGAGGGCGGGACCTCTTCCTCATAGGGCACCATCTTCCGCGCCCTCATAACCTCACCTACCTGGAGGAACATACCTGGGTGAGTGTTAATTAAGGGGAGGAATGTCCTTTTCTTCATTCAGCTTCCCTCCTCATTTCCCCTCATTTCCCTCTCTTCCCCCTCATCGTTCTCTCTCTCTCTCTCTCTCTCTTAGTTCCCTTTATCTTCCCCTCGTTTCTCTCTGTTTCTCTCTACCCTCTTTATCAGCTTCCATTCTCCCTCTCCTCACAGCTAATTCCTTCTTTCCTCCTCCTCCCTACTCGGCCATCTTCAGCCTCATCCTCCCATTTTTCCCTCCATCCTCCTCTAACACTTCCATTTCATTCTCATCATCTCTTCTCTCTCTCTCTCTCCCTTTCCCTCTCAACTTTCTCTCCCTCTCATTCTCATCACTTACACGTCACCCTCCTCTCTCCTCATCCTTGACCGACCTCCCCCCCTCTCTCTCTCTCTCATCCTCTAACTCCCCCCTCTCATCCTCTAACCTTCCTTCACTTCCTCTCTCCCCCACTCACCTTTTCAACGTCTCATGACCCGGAGTAAGTTGTGTCCTGCCAGAAGCTTCAGGTCTTAAGGTCCAGGTCGGGTCCGCCAGCAGCTCAGCGAACAAGTGCGGGTACTCTGAGACGTCCCCAAGGCCCTCTGGTAACCTGTAGGGAGAGGCTGAGTGTGGAGGGTAGGGAGGGGGGGGGGTGTGGGGGGAGGGGTGAGGGGCGGGGGTGGGGGGTGGGAGGAGGTGAGGGGTGGGGGGGTGGGAGGGGTGTGGGGTGGGGGGAGGGGTGAGGGGTGAGGGGGTGGGGGGTGAGGGGGTGGGGGTGGGGGGAGGGGTGGACGTGGGGGTGAGGAGGTGAGGGGGTGGAGGGAGGGGTGATGGGGAGGGAGGAGGTAAGATGGAGATTATGATGGTGAATATAAGTGAGTTTAGGGAGAGAGAGAGAGAGAGAGAGAGAGAGAGTCCGGGAAAGTTATATTAGACTAAGTGTTAGGTCTACATCAAGCTCCGAACACCAGAATCAAAAATCGTTCCTGGGTTCAACTTTTTAAGATTCGAACCCACACCCACGAACCCATGAACCCACGAACCCGAAGCTTAAAATGGAAGCCTGTTAAAGTTCTCCCTGTGTAAGTTCTTAAGCAAACGCCTGGGAAGGTATAGGACCTATTTATAGAGGCTGGCGAAGATGAGGGGGGGATGGGGAGAGAGGATTAAGGAGGTGCATAATGGAGGAGGAGGAGGGAGGAGGAAGAGGAGGGAGAGGGGAGACAGGAGGAAGAGAGGGAGGAAGGAAGGAGGAAAAAGAAGGGAGGGAAAAAGGTAGGATAAATGAGAGGATAAATGACAAAGGGGAACAGAGGAGGAAGAGAAAGAGGAGGAGGAGGAGAAGAGGAGAGGAGGAGGAGGAGGAGGAGGAGGAGGAGGAGGAGGAGGAGGGGAGGAGGAGGAGGAGGAGGAGGAGGAGGAGGAGGAGAAGAGGAGGAGAAGAGGAGGAGGAAAGAAGAAAGAAGAGAGGAGGAGAAGGAGAAAGAGGAGGAAGAGAAAAGTGAATTGACGGATGATTGGAAAGAGAGAGAGAGAGAGCGGAGAGAGAGAGAGAGAGGAGAGAGAGAGAGAGCAAAAATTAGCTAATCTCAAACTTTTCTCAACTTTCATAAAGGAAAGTTTCAGTGATAATAACTCTTCACCTGAGGTCGATTAATTCACCTATACTGGATATTGCTCTTTTTAGGGTAGACACTTATCAAGGAAGGATTTGGGGTGATGACCTAGGGTGAGGGAGAGGTGGTGGTGGTGGTGGTGGTGATAGTGGTAGTGGTGGTGATAGTGGTAGTGTTGGTGGTAGTGGTGGTGTTGGTGGTAGTGGTAGTGGTGGTGGTAGGTGGTGGTGGTGATAGTGGTAGTGTTGGTGGTAGTGGTGGTGATGGTGATAGTGGTCGTAGTGGTTAGTGGTGGAGGGTGGTGGTAGTGGTAGTGGTGGTGATAGTGGTGGTGTTGGTGGTGGTGGTGGGATAGTGGTAGTTGGGTGATAGTAGTGTTGGTGGTAGTGGTGGTGGTGGTGATAGTGGTGGTGATAGTAGATGGTGGTAGTGATGGTGGGTGATTAGTATAGTGGTAGTAGTGGTAGTACTAAGGCAGGTGGGTCAAGGACTTACCTGAGAGCCTTAACGTGGAAGAATTTACAGAATATTAGTGAGCGAGAGAGAGGAGAGAGAGAGAGAGAGAGAGAGAGAGAGAGAGGTGAAATAGAAAGAAAGAAAGAAAGAAGAGGAAAGAGAGAGAGAGAGATTTTAAGGCCCACACGCACACTGTAAAAATAACGCCAGCACGAGCAATCAGCTGTGCCTGGTCTCACCCTCCCCTGGTTATTACACATCGTTTTGAGAGCTGCGCCAGGCGAAGGTTCGTCTTCCTCCTACTGCCTGTAGTGGCGATGGTTAATATTACAACCTCCAGCATTATGGTTACTACGCCAAACGGACGTACGCCAGGCGATAGCGTTCGTAAGAGAGGGCGTAGTAAAATGGGTGATATAATTCTAATACGCCAGATGGACGTTCGCCAGTTTATTGCTTATGGTGTCTTTACTTGTATAATGTCGTAGTAAGAGTCGGGTCGTAAGTCGTGGCTGCATGACGTATAAGATGGTGTGGTCGTACATGGGTGGGCTACATGACATATAAGACGGTGTGGCTGTACATGGGTGGGCTACATGACATATGAGACGGTGGTCGAACATGGGTGGGCTACATGACATATGAGACGGTGTGGTCGTACATGGGTGGGCTACGTGACATATGAGACGGTGTGGTCGAACATGGGTGGGCTACATGACATATGAGATGGTGTGGTCGTACATGGTGGGCTACATGACATAAGTGTGGTCGTACATGGGTGGGCCAGACATTGAGATGGTGGTCGTACGTCAGAGGCTGCATGACATATGAGACGGTGTGGTCGTACGTCAGAGGCTCCATGACGCATGAGGTCGGAGAGACGGAGATGGAGTAGAGCCATAAGTCATGAACGGTGACTGCCTGGCCGTCAGTCCTCTATAGATCACCTGTGGTACTAACCCGGGGGGAGAGAGAGAGAGAGAATTATGGGTACAAGAAAGTAAGAGATGACCTTTAGTTGATTATAAATGGTTCTATTTCATGCGTCTCTCTCTGTCTCTCTCTCTCTGTGTGTACAAGAGATGTTAAAGAATGAACCTACACAAGCTTGACAATAAAAACCCTCATTAGGAAATTGATGTCTACCTGAACACTTGTGATTACCTGGATTGTAGTGATAGTGGTAGTAGTTGTGGTAGTGGTGGTAGTTGTGGTAATGATGGTAGTTGTGGTAGTTGTGTAGTTGTAGTGGTAGTCGGTGGTAGTCGGTGGTAGTTGTGGTGGTAGTTGTGGTGGTAGTGGTGGTAGTGGTAGTTGTGGTGGTAACAACTTGACTGTAACCTAACCACTTACCTGTACAGTTAATTAGACTGTTTTGTCCCAGGTAGACTGTGATGAACTGGTTCTGGTTGAGTGACGTATGTACTCATCTCACCAAGAAATACTCAACCTGTACTCACGTCGTCTCTATAGTACTACCAATACTATTCTTGTACTCATTTACCTTACAAAGTACCACTATTACTTGTACTCAACCATTTCTCCAAAGTACTCCCGATACTTTAACTTGTACTCAACCATCCTTCCAAAGTACTCCCGAGACTCGTCATGTACTCAACACCCTCCAAAGTACTACCAATACTTATTATGTACAGTACTCACCACCACCTCTCCTGAAAATATTGAGTCCATGAGAGAGAGAGAGAGAGAAAATGACTCATAACTCACCCTGACTCACCGTGACTCACCATTGTAAATCCTGAATACAACAGCGAAATAAATAACTCATGACTCACCGTGACTCACAAATCCTGAGTACAAGAGAGAGAATAATGACTCATGACTCACCGTGACTCACAAATCCTGAGTACAAGAGAGAGAATAATAACTCATGACTCACCGTGACTCACAAATCCTGAGTACAAGAGAGAGAATAATGACTCATGACTCACCGTGACTCACAAATCCTGAGTACGGAGAGAATAATGACTCATGACTCACCGTGACTCACAAATCCTGAGTACAAGAGAGAGAATAATGACTCATGACTCACTTGTTCACCCCATCAAAGTCAGCACCAATACCAACGTGTTGTATCCCAGCTATTTCCCTCACGTGGTTGATGTGAGCTGTGAGGAAGAGAGAGAGGTAGAAGGTGGTTAAATAAGTGTGTGGTTAAATATGGGTTGTGTTGTGTGGTGGTTGTTATTATTACCATTATTATTATTATAAATACAACTACCACTATCACCACAACTACCACTATCACCACAACCACTACTACAGCTAAACCACCACCACCACCACTACTTTCACCACCACTACCACCACTACTACCACTATCACCACAACCACTACTACAGACTGGATCCAATTCCAACTTAAGAATTCATGACAGTTTTAAATGTAATTAAATCGTGTTCCAAGTGCATGAATAAAAGAACTTCATCAATATTCAGGTCTTTATCAGCGTCACCACTCACACTCACTCTCAACTCACTCACTCACTCACTCAGGATTTTACCACCACTCACCACTCACTCCACCAGGTTTCCCCACTCATTCACTCCTGCAATTTAACTCACCATTCACTCACTCAGAATTTACTCACCACTCACCACGCACCCACCATTAACTCAGAATATAACTCACTCACTCACTCTTTTGATGCGTCTGGTAAATGATATTCCGTGAAGCAATCTGGAGAGAGAGAGAGAGAGAGAGAGAGAGAGAGAGAGAGAGAGAGAGAGAGAGCAGAAAGAAACTCAACCTATATTTGTTTCAAGTTGGTATACACAAATCAGGACCTGTAAGAGTCACTACCTAAGTACTTCAAGATCCATGTTGACTCGTTTACAGTATGTGTTTGAAGGGGCCTTACAGCTCACCAATGTAAGCATTCAGAGAGGTGTGAAGGCAATGGTAGGATATGAAGGATTCCTATTGAGAGTTACATAAGGATCTCTGGAGTGTTTGAGGATATAGTCCTTCTAGGTTGGTGAGTGTGTATTTTCCATCTCCTTCTTCTTCTCTCCGTCCGCTTCCTTTCCCTTCTTCTTTTTCTTCTTCTCCTCTTCCTCCTTATCCTTCTCCTCCCGCTCAAACTTTTTTCTGAATTATGTGAGTGAATAAGTCCTTTTTACTCCTTTTGTGATGTAGGATACGGGGATTCGTTAGTAAGGACTCCTCGATCTTCAGGCAAGGAGGGAAGCCCTTCTGAGTCCTTAAACATATAGAACAAAAGGATAATAACCAAAGACATCACTCTCTTCACCGTCAGTAAGTTCTTGTGAAATCCTACGAAGGACTCTGAAATTATGTGATAGTTGAGATTCCTCCCTCCTACAGTATCAGGAGAGTGAAGGAATTGAAGGACTCAGCAATACTCCTGGACTTCAGCTAAGATCTCTCCTCCCTGCTACAGTATCGGGAAAATGAGGAGAGTCCTTGAAGTCCTCAGAAATACTCCAGGACTCAAGGATCTAAGGCTAAGGACTCCCCTCCCTCCCACAGGACATCAGAAATACAACTACCCTGCAGGAGGCGTGTGAGGAGGTGCCCCTGGAGTCTTCAACAATCCAGGATCCCATAACACTTAAAATATGGACTTGAGAGAAGGTGCATTATCCTCATTGAGATATTAAGACTCCTTCGGGATACTTTTCCACCACTCCTCGTTGACTGAAGGACTCCCTAACAGCAACGGGGAAGGATACATTCATCATAACTCGGGCAGGACAGCAGACTCATCAAATGTGTTTATCAAGCGAGAAGTCACAGAAACTTCTCATACGAAGCATCAAGGCAGCACCACCCCTTGTTGTCCATCTTGGTATCGTAATGAGGGTCTATAGTTTCCCAAAGTTTCCCAAAGTTTCCTGTAGTTTCATGTAGTTTCCTGTGGCGTATTTAACTCCCTGTCAAAAGTTCTTGTTACAATAGTTTCCCCAACACTCTCATCTTCCTCCCCAGGTGAACATTGTAATACCACCAACTATTTCCATTTCTATTCACTAATGTTTACTATTGTTTCTACCGAGTGACGTCATTCGAAATAGGAGCCTTATAGAGAGGTTTACTGTCATGGTGAGCATTAATAGAGGCGCCACGAGAGGTTTACTGTCATGGGGAGCATTAATAGAGGAGCCACGAGAGGTTTACTGTCATGGGGAGCATTAATAGAGGAGCCACGAGAGGTTTACTGTCATGGGGAGCATTAATAGAGGAGCCACGAGAGGTTTACTGTCATGGGGAGCATTAATAGAGGAGCCACGAGAGGTTTACTGTCATGGGGAGCATTAATAGAGGAGCCACGAGAGGTTTACTGTCATGGGGAGCATTAATAGAGGAGCCACGAGAGTTATTCCTATTAATTATATTCCAGATTTAGTGTTGGGTATAAATATTTTACCCAGGTGGACAAGACTGGCGAGGAGTGTAAACAAGGTCATGGAGACGTTAAGCGAGGTCATGGAGACGTTAAGCGAGGTCATGGAGACGTTAAACGAGGTCATGGAGACGTTAAGCGAGGTCATGGAGACGTTAAGCGAGGTCATGGAGACGTTAAACGAGGTCATGGAGACGTTAAGCCAGGTCGTTGGACAAAAAGGTTAAACGAGAACACTTCACTAATACCTTAAAAGAAGACACACAAAGCACTAATTAGCCGTCTACACCTGCGTTTACCTGGTCCAGTTTTTACCTCACTGACCTGACTGATAGTGTTGTGTTGTCTCTGTGTGAGGGATAGTTTCTTTTCTTTTTTTCCCAGTACAGTTGTAATGCATTAGTTAATATTTAATGGCTCTGGTTGTTGTTTTCCCAGGAGAGGACGAAATGTTGTACTCTCTCTCTCTTCACACACAGGCATAAATAAATCGACGATACAGATTCATGAAAAATACATAATTAATTAAACCTGCTGACATGACTTGAGAAAATACAGGAACAGAGAGAGAGAGAGAGAGAGAGAGAGAGAGAGAGAGAGAGAGAGAGAGAGAGAGAGAGAGAGAGAGAGAGAGAGAGATACTCACCCACAACATCCTTCACAGATGCATGTTCACTACAGGTCAGGAAATGGTTGTAGAAACTGACCATAACAAGACCTCCGTTCACAGCCTGAGAGAGAGAGAGAGGGAGGGAGGTATACCAATTAGTATATGAGTATAATAACGTTATATCTAGGAGGTTATATGCACTAGTATATCAATCATGGTTATAGGTAAAGGATACAAAGTAGGTTATATCACTTAGTATATTATCGTTATATCATGTCAACTAAGGAAGGTATGTTAATTAGTATGTTAGTTTCGTTATATTTCGATCTATCTACTGGTGGGGAAAGGTATAAGAGGAAGGTATATCTCTGATCAGCGTTATATCTACTGGTGGAATGAAGGGATATACTTATTGGTATATCAGTATAATGTGTGGATATGAGTTATACTGTTGATGGAGTTAGAGTGTTAGTTCCTTGATGTCTTATACTCTCTCTCTCTCTCTCTCTACTCACCACCTTCTTCAGGATGTGGTCGGGGACGTTCCTCTCTCTCTACTCACCACTTTCTTCAGGATGTGGTCAGACGTTCCTCTCTCTCTCTCTCTCTCTCTCTACTCACCACCTTCTTCAGGATGTCGGACGTTCTCTCTCTCTCTCTACTCACCACCTCTTCAGGATGTGGTCAGACGTTCCTCGGGTTCTTACAGATAGAGTACACGGAGGAGTGGCTGAAGATGACCGGCGCTTTGACACCTCCAGCGCCTTCATGGTCGCCTGAGACACGTGAGAGATCTACCATCAGCCCCAGGCGGTTCATCTCTCACTACCGTCTGTGGGAGAGAAGTGAGGGTGAGAGACATGTGAGAGATCTACCATCAGCCCCAGACGGTTCATCTCTCTCTACCACCGTCTGTGGGAGAGAAGTGAGGGTGAGAGACACATGTGAGAGATCTACCATCAGCCCCAGGACGGTTCATCTCTCTCACTACCGTCTGTGGAGAGAAGGAGGGTGAGAGACACATGAGAGATCTACCATCAGCCCCAGACGGTTCATCTCTCTCTCTACTACCGTCTGGGGGAGAGAAGTGAGGTGAGAGACACATGTGAGAGATCTACCATCAGCCCCAGACGGTTCATCTCTCTCCTACCGTCTGTGGGAGAGAAGTGAGGGTGAGAGACACATGTGAGATCTACCATCAGCCCCAGACGGTTCATCTCTCTCACTACCGTCTGTGGGAGAGAAGTGAGGGTGAAGACACGTGTGAGAGATCTACCATCAGCCCCAGACGGTTCATCTCTCACTACCGTCTGTGGGAGAAGAGGGGTGAGAACAAGTGAGAGATCACCATCAGCCCCAGACAGTTCATCTCTCTCACTACCGTCTGTGGGAGAAGAAGTGAGGTGAGAGACACATGTGAGAGATCTACCATCAGCCCCAGGCAGTTCATCTCTCCTACCGTCTGTGGGAGAGAAGTGAGGGTGAGAGACACATGTGAGAGATCTACCATCAGCCCCAGACGGTTCATCTCTCTCACTACCGTCTGTGGGAGAGAAGTGAGGGTGAGAGACACGTGTGAATCTACCATCAGCCCCAGGCGGTTCATCTCTACCGTCTGTGGGGAGAGTGAGGGGTGAGAGACACATGTAGAGATCTACATCAGCCCCAGGCAGTTCATCTCTCTCACTACCGTCTGTGGGGAAAGTGAGGGTGAGAGACACATGTGAGATCTACCATCAGCCCCAGGCGGTTCATCTCTCTCACTACCGTCTGTGGGAGAGAAGTGAGGGTGAGAGACACATGTGAAGATCTACCATCAGCCCAGACGGTTCATCTCTCTCACTACCGTCTGTGGGGAGAAGTGAGGTGAAGACACATGTGAGATCTACCATCAGCCCAGACGGTTCATCTCTCACTACCGTCTGTGGGAGAAGTGAGGGTGTGAGAGACACATGTGAGAATCTACCATCAGCCCCAGACGGTTCATCTCTCACTACCGTCTGTGGGAGAGAAGTGAGGGGTGAGAGACACATGTGAGAGATCTACCATCAGCCCCAGGCGGTTCATCTCTCTCACTACCGTCTGTGGGAGAGAAGTGAGGGGTGAGAGACACATGTGAGAGATCTACCATCAGCCCCAGGACAGAGAGACAGACAGACAGACAGACAGACATCTCTCCATCTCTGGGAAGCTTCACGAGACCCCGGGATGAAAATTACGCCACTACGTTACCATGACAACCTCTGACAACATCAGTTGATCGATGTCAACAAAACCAGCTGTGTGTCGTAGCGCTTGTATTTTAGGATACTTGTCATCACGTTTACTGGGATAAGACTGACCTGTTTATTCTGGTGAAAAGGATAATAATAATAATAATAATAATAATAATAATAATAATAATAATAATAATAATAATAATAATAATAATAATAATAATAATAATAATAATAATAATAATAATAATAACTACCATTACTACTACTAATAATAATAATAAAAATACCTCCAAGAATTCGAACACTAAAAGCAATGAATTAAATAAAAAAAAATATTAATAATTACAAACCATTACAGTAATAACAAAACCCACGAAAAAAAAAATATATTAAATAATATCAACAATAACTTTCATTACGGATATACAGTAAATTTAATATATCCCAGTCGTCTCTGCACTTACGGCAATTGCGAATTTCGTTTTGTTTACATTTTCAACGCACGAAAAAAACAAATGCGACGCGACAAGCGCATGGGGGGGAGGGGAGGGGAGGGGGGAGTGTTTATCTAGATTATTCGCTGTTTTTTGGCGGGAAAATGTCAGCTACAAATTATTGCCTCGAAGAATTTATTTTTTAATATTTTTTTTTTCTGAGGATAGAGAAGATGAACGAGAGGAAGAGACGATAAAAGAGAGGAGGGAGAAGATGAACGAGAGGAAGAGAAGATAAAAGAGAGGAAGAGAAGGTAAAGAAAGGTAGTGACGAATGGGGAGATAGAGGAGAAGGAAAAGAAGGGGTGAGAGAGTGGTAGAGGGAAGGATGCCAGTGAAGAAGTGAACACACGCACCCCACCCCCCACATACATACCTACATACATACATACATACATAGTGATGAACAATGTTTAAGCCAGTGAGTTCAGCATTAGGCTATGTCCCATGTGTGAACGTCTTGAGGCAGCGAGTGACCCCGTGAGTAAACACACTACCTTGGTGCAGCGAACAAACGTGTGTATTCTTTGATGTGTCCCACGTAGACGAGTGAAGCGTTCCCGGGCGACCAGGAAGCAGAGTTGATCACTGCTTCCTCAGTCTCACAAGTCCTCTCATTCTACACCAAAACTAAACAAGGTTTTACATTCATTTCTCACTGTTAACAGCTTCATCTGGCCAAGAAATAGATCCTTGTGGACTATTAAAGCAGCTGTTTCTCTTAGCAGAAGAATGTGAGGCATTGTTTATTCTAGAAGACTCTGTGTTGTTCTCAGCTGTAGTTGTCTATGTCTCCAGACCCTGTGTAGCGCCGCACTGTACAGCAGTAACTGTTTATTTCAATAACTTTATTTAAAATTCTCCATTTATTTGTACAAATTCCAAATGTGCACTGTACACCACACCTGGCATGTGACAATCTGTAATTAGATAATATGTTCTTTGTAGGATAGAGTTCCAACAACTATACACAGAGTGGTGTAGGTCCTGTCCCCAATCACAACACATTCTGGTGTACTCGTGAAACATCTTTGGATCTTGGCGAGGTTCCTTGTACAGATGGAAAATTCACCTGTCTCCATCCTCCTCTGATATATGGGATGTAGGAACCACACATTGAAAGGCATTATTTTCTAAGAGTACCAACAAACGACTGCGCTGCGTAGAAGACATGTTAACACCGGCAAGACACCGGCAGGTGGGACACAGGTCGCTTTGGAAAGTAGGTCGTGCTTCTACACCCTGGTCGCTCGATGCTGCAGGACGCTCGCAGATGGGACATAGCCTTAGACAGTACCACCGAGAGCCATGACCCACCAGTGGGGTCCACACCCAGAGATAAGCATCCCTGAGAACTGACCACCATCTTCTGACCAGGCGGTGTTAATCAGTCCACCCTGGGAACAACAGAGGGTCGGCTTCACACCTGACTACAAGATAACACAACACCACCTTGCAGAGAGTGAGATACTGTGACACCTCCCCACACCACCCGGTGGCTCCATGACCATGTGAGGTCCTTCATATCAATATCTACGGACGAGTTACTGAACCACATGGCCTACTTGACCTCACACAGTATGGCAAGAGACCAGCCCCGGCCATCAACTGTAAACTATAATAATTTGTATGTTCAATCATTGTTCCTTCTTCTTTCAGTAATGAAAGCTTTTGTTAACGACCCACCCACCCCATGTCATTATATGTAATAAGTCATTTATGTCTCAATGTATATTTTCAACCATTAATCATTATTATTATTACATACATGCATACATACATTCATATATACATACATACATACATACATACATACATACATACATACACCAAACTCCAAAACTACACCAGGGAACACACCAGTATTAACAAGGAACTACTGTGGCTGCAAGACACGGGTGGGGGGATGTAGTCACGTTACCTCTCTCTCATCAGCACAAAAATTAGGAGTTGCCGAGTTAATAACACAATCAGTTAGTGGATTAAGTTAGTAGACTGAGTTAAAGTTGATGGTGGTCTGTATTTTGACTGTATTTTGACTGTATTTTGACTGTATCTGTGCTTAGTGACTTTGAGAATAGAGTTAAGGGAGAGATTAACTGTTATTTCACTTCCTGTTTCTCTGTTTATTTCTCTATGTGTTTTTCTTCCTTTCTTTCTTTTTCTTTCTCTCTCTCACTGTCCCTTGTTTCTCTCTCTCTCTCTCTCTCTCTCTCTCACACGCTAAGGGCCATATTAAGGGCCTCATCGTGGGAGTCTGGGACCACCACAAGACCCTGGGCCCTAAAGGTCCTTATCTGCACCCTGAATCAGCTTGTTGATCAATATTCAAGTTTAATCGAATTACTGGATGTAGCGTCGAGCCTCTCTCTCTCTCTCTCTCTCTCTCTCTCTCTCTCTCTCTCTCTCTCTCTCTCTCTCTCTCTTTCACGTTACTGCTGTCGTAGTCTTTCCAGGCCCCTTGATACGGAGTCTTTAAGCGCCATTCACTGAGTCTTTAAATCACCATTCACTTAAGTCTCCACCACTCAGGCTCCCAAAGTACCATTCACTAGACCATAATTTCTTCCACCAGATAAGCACAGCTTCTTTTAAAAACACCAAAACATGAGAAAAAAAACTTAAACAATTTCCTTTGTGTCTGAAGGAGTTCACGGGTCGTCTCAACTTACTGAACTCACCATAAATATCCAGCACCAAGGGGGATTATGTAAATTAGTGAGTTCTTTATATACTTCTGCAGCTTAGAATTCTTCCTTAATAAACATGTACGCAGAGTGTGTGATTATACAGGGAAAGGAAAAGTATATATATATATTTTAATTAAGGAAGGAATAGGTATCCTCCCTTGGGGTGTAAAGAGGTGGGATTTTTATCAGGGGAGGGAGGGGAAGTATCAACAGAAAACGGATTCTCAGGGTAAACTACATTCAGGAGAGAGGGGTGAAATTTATACAGTATATAGTGTATATATATTAATATTAATGGAGGAAGGAATAGATATAGTCTCTCTAGTGAAAAATGGCGGTGGAGTATGTTGATAAAAAACGGGGGAAACTTCAACAGAAAACGGATTCTCAGGGTAAACTTCATCTTACAGAGAAGTGGTGAGGCTAGGAAGTGGGGGGGGGAATATACCTTTATTTTAATAGAGGAAAGAATAGGCACTCTCTCTTGGCTGTAAAGTGGAAGGTATTTATATTTAGAGAAGAGGGAAGCATCAACAGTAAACGGATCATCAGGGTAAACTGCTTCATCCATCTGGTGGAAGGTACGGAAGGGGATGATTTTCCGCTGTGTTTCGTAAGTAAATTGGCTCAGTTTTGGGGTCATTTTTTAACTCTTATGGTTCTTGTTAAAGGAATTTACATATTGTTACATGTTAGGGACGTCTCTCTCTCTCTCTCTCTCTCTCTCTCTCTCTCTCTCTCTCTCTCTCTCTCTCTCCGTCTCAATTATGCATGGATATATATACAATACAATACAATACAGTACACACACACACACACACACACACACACACACACACATACACACACACACACATAATCTGTATCTATAGGTAGTAAAACATTAATACTCCGGCAGTCATAACAGTAAACCAGATATTCGCTTTACTCTTCATGTCGGATTTTCTTTCCAATTTCACTCTTATATGTCGACAAAATATATGTAACTAAAACGGGTATATTCCTCTGCCCTCCCTGACCTGCGGCCTGAGTCACATTCATTCCTACGAGGATTTTTTTTACATTAAGACGTCTAGCTGATTCACTTAAGACATATGTTTGGATTCTGAAAGGTTCTTAAGTTAAATTTTGTCCCTTAATTGTAGATATAAGAACGTATCTAACTGACTCACTTAAACTATGCCACAGGTGGATTCTCAAAGGCTCTTAAGTTAATATCCACCAGTAATTGTATCTCTAAGAACATATATAACGAAAAAACTCCAGCAAAGACTCCAATATCTATTCTCAAAACATCGTAAATTAAATTGTCCCCAAGCTCAAGATGGGGAAACATACCTAACGCATTTTAAAGCTATGACCCAAAAACATTATTAAGAGGTGAAATGGGATCGAAATCTACACTATTACTGAACCATAATGAGATGTGATTCCTGGTTCACTAGTCAGGGAGTAATAACTATAAATGACTCAACATCCTTCGAGTATTAAAGAGGAGGATGAGACGAGCGTGGTGGAAAATGTCAACTAACAAATTTAATCTGAAACTTATGGCAAAAATAACTTGGTTAGAAGAGCAAGAGTTAACCTATTACTTCCTTCCTCCCTTTCACTCTTCCTTCCTCCTCCTCCTCCCCCTCCCCCCTTCCCTCTTCCCGTTCCCCTTCCCTTCGCCCCCTCCCTCACATCGTCACTGCATCAACTTTCCCAATTGGGCCTCTCTCTCTCTCTCTCTCTCTCTCTCTCTCTCTCTCTCTCTCTAGACCTCTGACGAACTCCTTCAGCTAAAGAATTAACTTACATACAGACAGACAGACAGACAGACAGACAGTACAGTACAGAGGGCCAAGTGACTTACCTTGCCAAACTGAGTCAGGCCCCGAGGTGACTTAGGGTCCTCCAGGTCAGTCTCCCTCGCTCTGGCACACTCAGCCCTTAAGGGAGACAGATCAGGGAGAATAAGTAGTAGAAGTAGTAGTAGTAGTAGTAGTAGTAGTAGTAGTAGTAGTAGTAGTAGTAGTAGTAGTAGTAGTAGCAGTATCATTATCAATTTATTATTATTATTATTATTATTATTATTATTATTATTATTATTATTATTATTATTTATTTTAATTATTTTCATTAACAATAACATATAGTTCATGAGTGAGATAACTACAGGTGTGGGGAAGACTCACCAGGGTGTGCTGCAGGTGTGTAACAACAGGTGTGGGGGAGACTCACCAGGGCGTGCTGCAGGTGTGGGGAGACTCACCAGGGCGTGCTACAGGTGTGGGGGAGACTCACCAGGGCGTGCTGCAGGTGTGGGGGGACTCACCAGGGTGTGTGCAGGGGTGTAACAACAGGTGTGGGGAGACTCACCAGGGCGTGCTGGGTGTGGGGAGACTCACCAGGGTGTGTTGCAGGGGTGTAACAACAGGTGTGGGGAGACTCACCAGGGCGTGCTGGGTGTGGGAGACTCACCAGGGTGTGTTGCAGGGGTGTAACAACAGGTGTGGGGGAGACTCACCAGGGCGTGCTACAGGTGTGGGGAGACTCACCAGAGACTCACCAGGGCGTGCTGCAGGTGTGGGGGAGACTCACTGGGGCGTGCTACAGGTGTGGACTCACCAGGGAGGGTGTGGTGTGGGGAGACTCACCAGGGCGTGCTGCAGGTGTGGGGAGACCACCAGGTGTGGGGAGACTCACCAGTGCTACAGGTGTGGGGGACTCACCAGGGCGTGCTACAGGTGAGACTCACCAGGCGTGCTACAGGTGTGGGGAGACTCACCAGGGCGTGCTGCAGGTGTGGGGAGACTCACCAGGGCGTGCTACAGGTGTGGGGAGACTCACCAGGGCGTGCTGCAGGTGTGTGAGACTGGGGCGTGCTACAGGTGTGGGGGAGACTCACCAGGGCGTGCTACAGGTGTGGGGGAGACTCACCGTGCTACAGGTGTGGGGAGACTCACCAGGGCGTGCTACAGGTGTGGGGAGACTCACCAGGGCGTGCTACAGGTGTGGGGGAGACTCACCAGGGCGTGCTACAGGTGTGGGTGAGACTCACCAGGGCGTGCTACAGGTGTGGGGGGAGACTCACCAGGGCGTGCTGCAGGTGTGGGGAGACTCACCAGGGCGTGCTGCAGGTGTGGGGAGACTCACCAGGGCGTGCTGCAGGTGTGTGGGGAGACTCACCAGGGCGTGCTACAGGTGTGGGGGAGACTCACCATAGCGTGCTACAGGTGTGGGGGAGACTCACCAGGGCGTGCTGCAGGTGTGGGTGAGGGTCAGGTACCGTACACCCAGGTCTCTCAACGCCCGCAGTACCCCGAGGGAGTTCTGTATGGCGTGACCTCCCTCAACACCGATCAGGCTGGCGATGCGGCCGTTCTTGAAGGCTTCCTCCACCTCTGACACAAACACCACAAACACCTCCCTTAGTCTCTCTCACAAACACCACAAACACCTCCCTTAGTCTCTCTCACAAACACCTCCTTAGTCTCTACACACCTCCCTTAGTCTCTCTCTCACAAACCTCCTTAGTCTCTCTTACAAACACCTCCCTTAGTCTCTCTCAAACACCTCCCTTAGTCTCTCTCACAAACACCTCAAACAACAAACACCACAAACACCTCCCTTAGTCTCTCTCACAAGTCTCACCTCCCCTTAGTCTCTCTCACAAACACAAACACCTCCCTTAGTCTCTCACAACACTCCCTTAGTCTCTCTCACAACACACCTCCCTTAGTCTCTCTCACACCACAAACACCTCCCTTAGTCTCTCACAAACACACACACACACACACACACACTGTAATAAGCCTTTGTACCTGAACCTGCCCAGACAGCCTTAAGTGAACACATTTTCCCGCCTGAGCTTTTATCGCCAGGCGAAAGAGCGACGAGAGAGGCAAAGATATAATCGCACACTGATGGCGGCCAGGAATTAAAAAAAAAAAGCACTAAAATTCACATAAAGTGCGTTGATTGGTCGTTGTCTACCATGAGCGTGATCTCTGATTGGTCCTTGTAAGCTGTAACGTTTGCTGATTGGTCTTTAGCTATAGTGACCTGCTCTGATTGGTCCAAATATGTTATGGAATAAAATGCTCTTATATTCTAATTGGCAACGCAAAGACACGTGACTCATGTAAACAAAACCACGTGACTTATGTAAACAAAACCACGTGAATTATGTAAACAAAACCACGTGACTTATGTAAACAAAAGCACGTGACTTATGTAAACAAAACCACGTGACTTATGCAAACAAAACCACGTGACTTATGTAAACAAAACCACGTAAACAAAACCACGTGACTTATGTAAACAAAACCACGTGACTTATGTAAACAAAACCACGTGACTATGTAAACAAAACCACGTAAACAAAACCACGTGACTTATGTAAACAAAAAGCACGTGACTTATGAAAACAAAAGCACGTGACTTATGTAAACAAAATCACGTGAATCATACATAAACAAACACATGAATCATACGTAAACAGAGTAGAATGAATATGAAAAAAAAAAAAAAAAAGAGAGAGAGAGAGAGAGAGAGAGATCTGACAACCACAACAATAACCTGTAGCTCACAATATCATAACTAGACACATAAACCACTATTACCCTGGCAGGTAATTAAGTTAATATTTAAATGAAACACTAATTACACCTTTAACTAATTTCTACTCGCTAAATACCTGTCGAGCTGAAAATTAGAATTCTGGCCATAAAGTTCAATTATCCGTCGTTCTGAAAAATGCTGAACCCGAAATCGAAAAAAATGGCAGAGTTTTAAGAATTTACATGACTAATAAAAGTCTCCCTCGAGGCTCTGAAAAATGTTCCATCAGATAGGTAAGTGAAGGTGGGTAATTAAATGGCCTAAACCTACCTGGGAAAATATAAGATGAAATTTAATATATTTTTTTTAATAATACTTACTATAATTTAATATAATTTTAAAAACATTATTAATTAAAAATAACATTATCACTATACAAGCTTAAAACACTTTATATATTGTCTGTACATAACTTTTATATAATTAGAGCTGAAATGTGTTTTAAAATATGTAGTTAACATTTTTTATTGGCATGTATAGAGAATAATTAATGCGTATGTGTTAAAAGTATAAATTGTGTAGATTATTAAATTACATGTACTAGTGGAGGGTAATGTGTGTGTGTGTGTGTGTGTGTGTGTGTGTGTGTGTGTGTGTGTGTGTGTGTGTGTGTGTGTGTGTGTGTGTGTGTGTGTTAGGAAGAGAGAGACAAAGAGAGAAAGTAAGGATGACTCATGACCAGGATGACACCATTGACCCATGACCCCACATGACCAATGACCAGGATTACCCATGACCCCAGATGACCGATGACCCCAGATGACCGATGACCCCAGATGACCCATGACCCCAGATGACCCATGACCAAGATGACCCATGATCCGGGACTCACCGTGGGCGGAGGTAGCGAGGCGAAGATCGTCTGGGTACTGGTCGATGAGTCTCTTGATGAGGTCAATCTGTTCTATGGTGAGCTGAACCGCGTTGAGCCTCTGAGACTCACAGGGCACGTAGGATACCCAGAACTGTGGGGGGAGGAGGGTACAGTTAGTGGCACCAGGGCACGTAGGATACCCAGAACTGTGGGGGGAGGAGGGTACAGTTAGTGGCACCAGGGCACGTAGGATACCCAGAACTGTGGGGGGAGGGTACAGTTAGTGGCACCAGGGCACGTGGATACCCAGAACTGTGGGGGGTATAGTTAGTGGCACCAGGGCACATGGATACCCAGAACTGTGGGGGGGTATAGTTAGTGGCACCAGGGCACGTGGGATACCCAGAACTGTGGGGAGGAGGATAGGCGGCATAGGATACCCAGAAGTGTGGGGGAGGAGGTATAGTTAGTGGCACCAGGGCACGTAGGATACAAAGAACTGTGGGGAGGAGGAGGGCAGGTGGCACGGCACTAGGATACCAGAACTGGGGGGAGGAGGGAGTTAGGGCACGGAGGATACCCAGAACTGGGGAGGAGGGCAGAGGGCACTGGGGCACGTGGATACCCAGAACTGTGGGGAGGAGGGTATAGTAGGGCACCAGGCACGAGGATACCAGAAGTGGGGGAGGAGGGGTTAGTGGCACCAGGGCAGGGATACAAAATGTGGGGGAGGAGGGGAAGTTAGGCACGAGGATACAGAACTGTGGGGGAGGAGGGTATAGTGGCACCAGGGCACGAGATACAAGAACTGGGGAGAGGGAGTAGGGCCCAGGGCACGGGATCCCAGAACTGTGGGGGAGGGAGGAAGAGGGCACCAGGGCACGTAGGATACCCAGAACTGTGGGGGGAGGAGGATACAGTTAGTGGCACCAGGGCACGTAGGATACCCAGAACTGTGGGGAGGAGGAGGGCAGTTAGTGGCACCAGGGCACGTTGGATACCCAGAACTGTGGGGAGGAGGAGGGACAGTAGGGCACCAGGGCACATAGGATACCCAGAACGGTGGGGAGGAGTACAGGGCACCAGGGCACGAGGATACCCAGAACGGTGGGGAGGAGGGTGCAAAGTGGCACCAGGGCACGTAGGATACCTGAACTGTGGGGGAGGAGGGTAGTTAGTGGCACCAGGCATGGGGATACCCTGAACTGTGGGGGAGGAGGGTGAGTAGTAGCACCAGGGCACGTAGGATACCCTGAACTGTGGGGGAGGAGGAGGGTAAGTTAGTGGCACCAGGGCACGAGGATACCCTGAACTGTGGGGAGGGAGGGTAGTTAGTGGCACCAGGGCACGTAGGATACCCTGAACTGGTGGGGAGGAGGAGGGTATAGTTAGTGGCACCAGGGCACGTGGGATACCCAGAACTGTGGGGGAGGGTAGTTAGTGGCACCAGGGCACGTAGGGATACCCTTGAACTGTGGGGAGGGAGGGTAGTTGGTGGCACCAGGGCACGTGGATACCTGAACTGTGGGGGGAGGAGGGAGAAGCGGCACCAGCGTAGGATACCCTGAACTGTGGGGGGAGGGAGAGGTGGTAGTGGCACCAGGCATGTAGGATACCCTGAACTGTGGGGAGGAGGGTATAGTTAGTACCAGGCACGGGGATACCTCAACTGTGGGGAGGAGGGAGTTAGGCACAGGGCAGGGATACCCAACTGTGGGGAGGAGGAGGGTAGTTAGGCACCAGGGCATGAGGATACCCAGAACTGTGGGGGAGGAGGTGGTTAGGCCCAGCACGGGATACCCAGAACTGTGGGGAGGAGGGTCAGGGCACCGGGGTACCAGAACTGGGGAGGAGGAGGTACAGTTAGTGGCACCAGGGCACGTGGAGGATACCCAGAACTGTGGGGAGGAGGGTATAGTTAGTGGCACCAGGGCACGTAGGATACCCAGAACTGTGGGGGGAGGAGGAGGGTACAGTAGGCACCAGGCCTGTAGGATACCCAGAACTGTGGGGGAGGAGGGTATAGTTAGTGGCACCAGGGCCGAGGATACCCAGAACTGTGGGGAGGAGGAGGAGGTTGTGGCACCAGGGCAGTAGGATACCCAGAACTGTAGGAGGAGGAGGCAGTAGGCACCAGGCCCGTAGGATACCCAGAACTGTGAGGGAGGAGGAGGGCAGTTGTGGCCCACTCTCCTCGCAATCATTCACTCTTTCACTCACACACCTGAAAATTACACAACTCGTGAGAGAGAGAGAGAGAGAGAGAGTAAACTTAAAGACAATCCTCTTCAAGATGTTGCTTAATTAATCTCAGCAGGTGCATGCCTCCGCAGAATGGAACACCTGGTCGCCTCTAACAAGGAAACCACAGGATAAACTTATTAAGATGGATATAAGCTGAGCCACGGGTGAAGTTCTGGAGAGAGAGAGAGAGAGAGAATGAGAGAGAGAGAGAATGAGAGAGAGAGAATGAGAGAGAGAGAGGGAGAGAGAAGCAAAATAACAACACACACACACACCACACACACACACACACACACACACACACACACACACACACACCCCAAACATATCACCTCAATACACTATTTCAGGCCAGACTCATTAACCTGGCAAGAGGATAATAATGAGTCCACCTGAGGCTTTAGAGTCTCAGGTGCTTCATATAATATAGAGGAGCACTGGAGTCCGTCTTGAGGGGGTATAGATGATTAGTGATTAGCGTTCCAATTAACTCACCTGTTGGAGTCAGGGTAGGTGGTCAATAAGTGATATTAGGTTCTGTATTAATTTATGACCACTCACCACCTGGCAGACCACACACACACACCTGGGCAACCACACACACCACTGGGCAGACCACACACCCACCTGGACCCCACACCACCAGCACACACACCTCACCTGGGCAGGACCACACACACCTGGGACCACACACTCACCTGGGCAGGACCACACACACACTCACCTGGGCAGGACCACACACACACCACCTGGGCAGGACCACACACACACTCACCTGGGCAGGACCACACACCACCTGGGCAGGACCACACACACACTCACCTGGGCAGGACCACACACACCACCTGGGCAGGACCACACACCACCTGGGAGGACCACACACGGACCACACACACTCACCTGGGCAGGACCACACACACCGCAGGACCACACACACTCACCTGGGCAGGACCACACACACACACTCACTGGGCAGGACCACACACCTCACCTGGGCAGGACCACACACACCCACCTGGGAGGACCACACACACACCACCTGGGCAGACCACACACACCACCTGGGACCACACACACCACCTGGGCAGGACCACACACACACTCACCTGGGCAGGACCACACACTCACCCAGGACCACACCACCTGGGCAGGACCACACACCTGGGCAGGACCACACACACACCTCACCTGGGCAGGACCACACACACTCACCTGGGCAGGACCACACACACACTCACCTGGGCAGGACCACACACTACCTGGGCAGGACCACACACCACCTGGGCACCACACACACCTGGGCAGGACCACACACACTCACCTGGGCAGACCACACACACACTCACCTGGGCAGGACCACACACACACACTCACCTGGGCAGGACCACACACACCACCTGGGCAGGACCACACACACTCACCTGGGCAGGACCACACACACCACCTGGGCAGGACCACACACACACACCCAGGACCACACACTACCGCAGGACCACACACCACCTGGGCAGGACCACACACTCACCTGCAGGACCACACACACACCACCTGGGCAGGACCACACACACCACCTGGGCAGGACCACACACACACTCACCTGGGCAGGACCACACACACACCCACCTGGGCAGGACCACACACACACTCACCTGGGCAGGACCCACACACTCACCTGGGCGACCACACACACTCACCTGGGCAGGACCACACACACACTACCCACAGGACCACACACTCACCTGGGCAGGACCACACACACACTCACCTGGGCAGGACCACACACACCACCTGGGCAGACCACACACCTCACCTGGGCAGGACCACACACCCACTGGGCAGGACCACACCTCAGACCACACACTCACCTGGGAGGACCACACACCCTGACCACACCCCGCAGGACCACACACGGGACCACACACTCACTTGGGCAGGACCACACACTCACCTGGGCAGGACCACACACCACCTGGGCACCCACCATGCCCTCCTTCAGTCTGGGCAGGTCAGTATGGGACCAAGAGGACCTGGACCACGGACGAAGTTTCTTCAGCTCGGCCGTGAAGTTGAAACTGTGAAGTTTATTGTGCATAAACTTCCTGATGTTCCACGGCAGGTCGTTGTGTCTGCCGGAGGAAGGTGTGTGTGTTAGTCTCTCTCTACGGCAGGTCGTTGTGTCTGCCGGAGGAAGATGTGTGTGTTAGTCTCTCTCTCTGTGTGGCAATATTCCTGGGCTGGGAAACTCTTCAGTGAATATCACCTTCCTGGTTCATGTTGGCAAAAGAGAGAGAGAGAGAGAGAGAGAGAGAGAGAGAGAGAGAGAGAGAGAGAGAGAGAGAGAGAGAGAGAGAGAGAGTTAAGTGAGTAAATAACCGTGTAAGTGTAAGTAGCTGTGTAAGGTGTAAGTAACCTGTAAGTAACCGTGAAAGTGTGTAAGTAACCATGTAAGAGTGTGAAAGTAACCAAATGTAAGTGTGTAAGTAACCTGTAAGTAACCGTGTAAGTGTGTAAGTTGCTTAGCAAGTGCATAAATAAGCGTGTGTGTAAGTAGCCGTTATAGAATATGTAAATGTATGTAAGTAAGTAAGCGTGTGTGTAAGTAGCCGTGTAGGTGTGTAAGTAGCCGTGTGTGTAAGTTACTGTAATAGCAGGTATATATGTAGCCGTGTAAGTATGTAAGTAGCTGTAAAAGTAGCCGTGTAAGTATGTAAGTAGCCGTGTAAGTATGTAAGTAGCCGTGTAAGTAACTTCATAAGTAAGAAGATGGACGACACACTCCGCGTTGTCAAAAATGTGTTGTTCGTCACTTTGTCTGAGAGAAAAAATAAGATGAATTGACCTCATATTTTTTTGCCAGCCAGCCTACCCACCCACCCAGCACACACCCAGCCAGCCAGCCAGCCAGCCAGCCAGCCAGCCACCCACCCAGCCAGCCAGCCACCCAGCCAGCCACCCAGCCAGCCAGGCAGCCACCACGCAGCCAGCCACCCACCCAGCCAGCCAGCCACCCATCTATCCAGCCACCCATCCACCCACCCAGCCAGCCAGCCAGCAACCGAGCCACCCACCCCCACCCACCCACCCACCCAGCCAGTCCAGCCAGCCACCCACCCACCCAGCCAGCCACCCAGCCACCCACCCAGCCAGCCAGGCAGCCAGCCACCCACCCAGCCAGCCACCCACCCACCCAGCCAGCCACCCAGCCACCCAGCCACCCACCCACCCAGCCAGGCAGCCACCCACCCCCCAGCCAGCCAGCCAGCCACAGACACCCACAAGACAAACAGAAAAAGACCTGAAACAAGTGAGAGAATGGGCGTTATGGGCCTAGTATATTTCTCTCTCTCTCTCTCATCCTTCCCTTCTCTTTGCTATCACGTCTTTTTCTCCTTTTCTTTCTCCTTTTGTTCCCCCCATTCATTCTGTATATAGGCCCTCATCCCTTCCCCTCACCCACCACCCCTCACCCACCACCCCTCACCCACCACGCCTCATCCACCATCACCTCATCCACCTTCACCCACTCAACCCAAATCTCAGTATTTACACCTGTGTCTTGTGTTCCAATGGGTGAACGGGACATAACTGAGATCAGTCAGATTTTCATCCAATCAGCTGTGTGTGTGTGTGTGTGTGTGTGTGTGTGTGTGTGTGTGTGTGAGAATAAAGGAAGAATTGCGAAACCTGGAAGAAATAGAGAGGAAGAGAAAGGAAGGAGGAGAATGGAAGATTAATAGTAGATAAAGAATAATGGAAGAGAAAGAAAGAAAGAAAGATTTCATTGGTCCAGCAGCTGAAAAGGAGGCCCGCGGTCTCTTAATGACGTCACTTCCGTAAATAAAAAAATCCTTGAATCACTTATAAGGTGAAAATGAGACCTACACACACACACTTACTAGCGTTAATATAAAAAGCTATAAAACTGTAGATAGCTCAAAGGCTCAGCTAACTTTCTCGGGCGTGAAATAATCTAGTAGTTAATCTGGTAGAAAGCTTTAGGATATACTTTCACTGCATCTTTTCCAAGCCAGGGGAAAGGTGTGAGATAGGAGGCTTTTGAGTGAAAGTGTGTCCTTGAAACTTTAGTTGAGGAAAAGTTATGGGAGAAATAAACACACAAGGAGGAAGATGCGGGTGAAAGTGTCTAAACTTTCACTGGAGAAAGTATAAGGAGAGTAAATACGTGAGAAAAAGGGATTCGAATAAAACTATTTAAACTTTCACTAGAAAAAGTAACAGAGGAGTGAATGAGCAGGTAGGAAGACGCCAGGGAAAGTCTTGAAACTTTCCCTGGGAGAAAGTATGAAAGACGTAAATATGAGTTCTTGTCACACACAGAGTTTACAAGTGTAGTGAAAGTCCTACAACGTCTCTCTCTCTCTCTCTCTCTCTCTCTCTCTCTCTCTCTCTCTCTCTCTCGGATATATTTTCCTTCTCCTCAATCTTTCTCCCTCAGTCTCCCCCACCCTCCCCTCACTCTCCCTCACCCTCACCCCCTTCACCACCCTCCCCTCCTCCCCCCTTCACCCTCCCTCCCCTCACCACCCTCCCCTCTCCCTCACCCTCCACCCCCCCTTCACCACCCTCCCCTCACTCTCCCTCCCCTCACTCTCCCTCCCCTCTGCCCCCCCTCTCCACCACCCTCTCACCCTCCTGGCAACACCTTTCTGGTGACGCTGGGGTTTTCGCCCTCTTCATTCTCCTTGTTGTCGTCTTCTGCAAAATTTCTTCCCTTTCGTTTCTCGTGGACTTGTTCGAGACTAACGAGGTAGTAGTCTTTGATGAAGCTGGAATTGCCCTGGGGGGTGTGTGTGGGGGGGCCCTGGAGGACGATAAGGGCCCTGGGAGATGCTAGAGACCCTGGGAATGGTCCTGGGAATGTGTGGGGGGGCCCTGGGGGACGATAAGGGCCCTGGGAGATGCTAGAGACCCTGGGAATGGTCCTGGGAATGTGTGTGGGGGCCCTGGAAGAAGGAGAGGGCCCTGGGAGGGGATTTGAGACCCTGAGCCTGGGAATGGTCCTGGGATGTGGGGGGCCCTGGGAGTGGTGCTGGGAATCAATGTGTGTGTTTGGGGTCTGGGAGAACCTAACCTAAGAACTCCGAGGGAACATTAAGGCCATAGCTGTGACCATTGGAATGTGTACGTGGGACCCTGGACAGATAGGTACTATATTGTGTAACCCTTGGGGAAGCGAGATGGAAAACCCTGAAGAAGACGCATGAACAACCCCCGACCCCATGACCAAACACCACACCTGCCGACACCTGAACACACCTGTGAAACATCTGAATACACCTGACAACACCTAAACATACCTACCAACACCTGAACACACCTGCCAACACCTGCCAACAGACCTCAAGAGAACCCTGACGCTAAAAACAAAAACAGAAAAGCGACGACCTACATAAAAATCCCCGAAAAATAAAATTAAAATCCCCGGAAAAAAATCCCTGGAATAAATAAAATCCCTGGAATAAATAAAATCCCTGAAAAAATAAAATCCATGAAAAAATCCCTGAAAAAAATAAAATCCCTAAAAAAAATCCCCGAAAAAAATCCTTGAAAAAATAAAATCTCAGAAAAAAAAGTTGTAAGGGATTTAATATACTTAGACTTTCCAGTGCCAATTATCGACATACTTCCTCCATCAAAGACTTTCTGGCAGGAGCTGATAACCTTTAACCTTTGACCTGTCTTGTTTTACATATTATCGAGACGAAAATTCCATCCACATTTTAATCAACTTTTGGACGAATTTTGTTGTTTTATTTCTTTTTTTCTTTTTTTTTGTCTGAGAAAAAGAAAACGAAGGCAAATGGATAGATGTTTATTATTGAATGTTCTTACGCCCGCTTCTTCCTTCTCCCTTCTTTCTCTTCCTTTTCACTTCCTTTCTCTCTCATTATCAGCCTCTTCTCTCCCCTTCTTCCATCACCACATCCCACCCCACGAACTCTCTCTCTCTCTCTCTCTCTCACCACACGTCTCCCCCCCCCCCGGCACACCTGTCCTCCCGATATAATGGATTAATACCACATAATTGGATCAGGTAGAGCGGCCAGGTGTGTGTTGTGTCCGACTGGTGATTACATTTTCAAACGTTTACTTGAGTTTTCCCTTTAATATCCACGTTTTCTTTGGTCGAGTTATTTTTAATTTGTGATAACTTTTACTTTTTTATATCTTATTTTATTTACTTTAGTTTCTTATTAGTATTATTATTATTATTATTATTATTATTATTATTATTATTTGTATTATTATTACTATTATTATTGTCTCTATCTTCACTATTCTCTATGCTTCTTCCTCATTTATTAACCTTCATTTTTCATGTTCTCTTTTAATATTTTTCCCTCGCACTTGCGTACGTTATAGTCTCTCTCTCTCTCTCTCTCTCTCTCTCTCTCTCTCTCTCTCACCCTAGGCAACACCACAGTGAAGGAATAACCACCTCTCTAATTCCGGGTCCCGTAAACGACCTGGTCCAGCCTTCATAAAACTCAAATTTACTAAGTGTTTCAAAGCCTCACTGTTTCGAATCCATTTAAGTGTCGTCAGGAGTTCAGTGTTTCTAATCCATTTACGCGTCAGGGGTTCAGTGTTTCGAATCCATTTACGCGTCAGGGGTTCAGTGTTTCGAATCCATTTACGTGGTTAAACTGGTAATTCGAAATCCTACTCTGTCCCCACTTAGCTCTTGTTAATTGACGCAGGTTCATTACAATGGCCCAATTTGATGTATTGTGCTTGTTTGAGAGAGAGAGAGAGAGAGAGAGAGAGAGAGAGAGAGAGTTAAAACTTATTCTAATATTTGAAAACATGATAAAAAAATTACCCACAAGAATTTTTTTTCCTAATTTTGATCCATAATTTACATATCTTTGAATTAAGAAATAAATTTTAAAAAAATCGGCATATCAACAATTTTTAAGACCTAATAGGGACCACTGGAGCCTTCCTATTACGTAAACTTACCACACAATTTTGAATATTCTCTGGGGCGGGGGTGGGGGGCGGGGGTGTGGGGGTGTGGGGGAAATTACCTGTTTTGATAATTAGATTACTGAGGAATTAAGAGGAAAGACTTCATTATTAAGAGAGGCGTTCACGAGCGTTA